AACTGAGGCAGGATCTGCTTTTCACATTCCCAGGTGGAATTCTTTAGGGAGCTTGGAGTCACCGGGGTGTGCAGGATCTGCATGTCTGGAGTTCAGTAAGACAAGATCACTCAGAATCCCCAGGTGAATCCTGAGGATGTTTTGCCTCTTGAGGGATTTTCCAGGGTTTCACCTGGAGCAGGGAGGGGCCACAGGTGATCCCAAATCCTGGCTCTGCTTCTTCAGAGACTTGGAGTCACCTCCACAGGTCCCTTTTGGCTTGAAAAGTTGGGCTTGAGGAGGACACGGACTTCTCCAGGATGACCAGGACGGGATTCCTGGGAATATCAGAGACATTTCGGTTGGGATTAATCATCCCTGAAGCACGGAATGCCATGGGTGTTGTTTGTGATCCAGGAATAGAATTCCAACCCCTGCTGATCCCTCTGCACCAGCTCCATGCTCCGATCTCTGGGAAGAACATCTCTGCTTGGGCAGCACGAGAGGAAATTATGGGAATCTTCTCCTTTCTTGGAAGTTGATTTTTCCATAGTTCAGCCTCTCAGGTCCCACCTCGTTTGCTCCAGGGGTGGAAAACAGGAAACCCTTTGGGACTGACAATGCTGTCCCCAAACTGCTGTTCCTGGAAAGGCACCACAAATCTCAGTTCTCCTGGATAAATGGCACGTGCTGACTGCAAATTGTGGATTCCCAATCCCTGGAAGTGCCCAAGGCCAGGCTGGATGGGGCTTGGAGCACCCTGGGATAGTGGAAAATGTTCTTGCCCAGGGAATGGGATGAGCCTTAAGGTCCCTTCCAACCCAAATCATTCCAGAATTGCAAAGTTTTCCCTTTTCCCTTCTTTCTCCTGCACTCCCTTTCCCCTTCCCAGCGATTCCCTGGTGCTCTCCCAGCAGATCCCAACCCTCAATCCCAACAAATCTCTTTGCTTGGAGCTGCTTTTTGAGCTGCTGCCAGGGAAGTGGCACAGCAAGGACCCCGTTATTCCCCAAAATGAAGACCATAAACGGGGATGACTGGGACCTCCCAGGGGACGTTTGGGGTTTGCTTTCGTGGCTGGGACATCAGCCAGGGAATGGGAATTCCAGAGGACATCCTCAACCTACTCCACAGGCTCCAGAGGGGCAAGGAAAGGGAGAAAATGGATTCAAATGGATTTTACAGCCTCGGGATAAAGCTGCTGTGTCCCCTTTCCCTTTGGCATTTCTGCTTTTTCTGGGCAAGGAGAGAAAAGCGACATTCCCAGATCTTTTCCCCACGAGGAACTTTTATTTTCCAGCAAAACCCAGCAGTGAGAAGAGAAAAGGGGATGATTGAGCAAGAGGAGAAGGTGGGATTTGATTGGAAAAGCGGGAAGCCCGGGGAGGAACCTCCATCCCTTCCAGGTGCTCCTGGGATTTCGGGAATGAGGGGGAAAACATCCCTCGGGATAAAACTATTCCTTGGACAAACTGCATGCCAAGGAACTCAGCGCAGGAATTTCTGCTGAGGAAATTTAGGGAAAGCTGATTTGAAGGGATTTGCTGGCAGTTTTTAGAGGGATTAGGTGAGCAGGGACAGGATAACCTCGACCTCTTCCTCCAAAACAGCTGGATTTGGGAGCTGGACCCATCTGGGACAATTTCTGCCTTCCCTTGGATGCTCCTCTTGCTCCCAGAATTCCCATCAGCAAAAATTCCTCCTCAAAAATCTTCTCAGTGCTCCTGAGTGGCCAATTAATGGGGAAAAAAAAAAAAAAAAAGGGAGGGGGGAGGAAGAAATCCTGAAAAAGGCTGATCCAATTTATTTCAGGTTCTGGTTTAAGGAAGGAATAAGTCCCAGCTGCTCTGGGCAGGAAAAAAACATAGGAGGAGCTCTGAGGGAATAGCTCAGGTTGGTAAATCCAATCCTGGATATTCCCAGTTTTTCATCAAGGCAGGGGTTATTGGGAAAAACATATCCTGTATTTATTCTTTTCTGTTGGACAAAGAGTTTTACAGGATGAGGGATTTTAGAGGGGGATAAAAAGGTGAAGGCATGTGGGAATTTGATAAAAGAGGAGGGAATTGTTGAATATGGGAATCTTGAGGAGGTTTTGGCACTGGGATTCACTGGGATGAAAAATTCCCAGTGCCTTTTATCTCTTTTTTCATTGTCCTGAGCAGAATGTGCAGGGAGTTCATGGAATAAACAGAGCAAATTCTGGAATTAATGTGGATTTTGGCATTCTCAGCATGGCACAGGTGGCCTTAAAAATAGAGGAAATCTGTGGATCTTGATGAAAATATCCCTTTTTTAGCCAATTTTCCATTTTAGCCTAATTCCAGGAGGCATCAGTTTAGGAAAAGAGGAGACACTTGAGACTGTCACCTCCCAGCCTTGGGGCAGTTTAGGACATTCCTACCCCCAGAATTTGCATCCAGGCTCTGGATTTTTCCAGCTCCTGCTGGATTTGGTTTTTGCTCATTTGTCTGATCCTGGTTGGGTTTTGTTAGAATTTTTCAGTCCTTGTTCTCTTCATCTGAGTCTCAAATCCTGCAAATTAGGGATTAATTTCCCTCCTCTCTCCATACCCTACGGACATCTCATCCTGGGACCTCCATCCCTGTTTTTGTCCCACCAAAGGGATCAAAATCCCCTCCAAAGCAGTGGCTGCTTCATTCCCAGCACTTCCCACTTATTCCCAAATCCCAAACCCCCACCTGGACACTCCAGGAAGTGAAGCCGCTTCTTTTGCTGCCTGGGAATCTCCAGATTCCCAAAAATTGGCACAAATTGTTTAAGCAAGGCCATCCTCCGGCATTTTTTTTTGGATCAGGTGTTGGGATTTTTTTTTCCAAAGGAAAGCTTTGCCCAGCCAGAGCCAAACGTGCCTTGGATCAGGAAGTTATCACAAGGAAAATATTCCATGGATTCCTTTCACCCTGGACAGCTGGGCTGGGAAGAGGAGCAGGGGATTTAATTTAGCCTTAAAATCGGGAGATCCAGGGCAGGAAAATCCAAGGAAAATCAGGAAAATGTGCAGTTAAGGAGTTGAAATTCCTCCCGCAGCTGGAAGATCCAAAGGTGTTCCAGGTTTTTGAGCTCTGGGTGTTTGTGCTCTTCCACCTGCTGTACCTTGATCCCAAACCTGAGAATTCCAGGGTTGGATCATCCCCAATCCCTGGGGATCTTTCAGCCCCATGGAGGCACAGAAATGTCGCCACAAGGGGTTGGGACAGAGGGAATGCCAAGTTCCAAACTCCCAACTCCCAGCCTGGTTTTCCCTGGATATTTCATGGGATTTATCCAGCACCATTCCACAATCTTCCCAAAACTTTTGAGAACTGATGTCTTCAAACACATGGATTTCATGAAAAAATCTCTGGTTTAATCCATAAATTTATTCACATTTACATTTCCACCCCTTTGACCAAGGGGAAACCCACAAAGTCAGGTCCTGAATAGAATTTTTTTTGTCATTTGAACCGTTTTTTGGGAGGAGAGGAGGGAATGTGGGGTCAGTTCTGGTGGATTTTTTTTAAGGATGGAGCAGGTTTAGGAAATTAAACCTGAGCTGGACTCGGAGCTCTGTCTCTGCCCAGCTCCAGGCCCAGACCTCGGAGATTTTTCTCTTTTATTTCTGGGAATGAAAATGTGTTTTCTGCGCATCCCTCCAAGCACAGCCAGAGCAGCCGAGGACTGAGCGTGCTTGGGATGAATCCCTTGGAATTCCTGAGGTCCCATCCCTCTAAATCCAGCCTAACTCCTCCAGCTTTGTCGGAATCGCTCCGGCTTTGTACAGATCTGAGCGCCAGCGGGAGCTGACCCGGAGCTTTTCTGTTCCCAATCCAAGCTGAAGTGAGGGATGGCGCCTTAAATGTGGACAGGCCAAACATCTGGGAAGGGCTGGAATCGTTCCCATTAACGTGGACGCGGTTTGGAAGCGACTCCCGCTTGTGAAGGGTTTTCAGCCTGGATTTGTTCCAAGGACACGAAAACCCAACTCCTGTTTTACTCCCGGCCCCTTATCAGATTGAACTCCACAGCTGCGTGTCCGTTGCCCCCGTTCCTCTCCCTGGGAGCCCACTGGGAAATCGAATCCCGGTTTATTTGGGAGCTGGGATTCATTAACCCTCGTTATGTCATTTGGAAGGAGTTTGTGTCGGGAGTTAATTGGCCCTCAGCTGGTTCCTGTTACTGCCTTGGCAAAGGGGATGAGCTGGAAAAGGGGGGAAGGAACCTGGATTTGGGATAGGGGTGGCTTGGGGAGTGCAGGGAAATCATGGAATGGGTTGGTTGGGAGGGATCTTAAGGATTATCCCTATCCCATCCCATTCCATGGGTAGGGACACCTTTCACTATCCCAGGGTGCTCCAGCCTGGCCTGGGAAATTCCATGGATCCAGGGGCAGCCACAGCTGCTCTGGGAATTCCAGCCCAGCCAGGAATTCCTAATTCCCAATCTCCCATCCATCCATCCCTCTGGCAGTGGGAGCCATTCCCTGTGTCCTGTCCCTCCATCCCTTGTCCCCAGTCCCTCTCCAGCTCTCCTGGAGCCCCTTCAGGCTCTGGAAGGGGCTCTGAGCTCTCCTGGGACAGAGGGTGGGGAGATGCTGTCAGCTCCCAGTTCTGCCTGGGACAGATCCCTCCACACATTCCTGGGATTCAGGCAGGGTTTTATGGAGCCTGACACCTATGGATGAAATATCCGTGCATGTGAGATTGTAATTCCTAAGAGGAGAGGGGTCCTTGGCATTAAATTATTTCCTAGGAATGTTTTCCTCCTGGATAGCAGCCTCATCCCTGCAATCTGGGATGCTCCATTCCAAAACTGCTGCTTCCACGTGTGAATGTGCACGATGGGATCAGCCCCAGCCGGCACTTCCTCTGCCGCCTCCGTGGATGGTCATTCCATGGAGGAGCTGCTCCTTGAGACACAACTGCACAGCAAACTGGGATTCCCAGGGCGAGGCTGAGGAAATCATGGATGCAGAGGAGGGTTTGGAACTGGAGTTTGACCTCTCTGTCCCCTCCCTGCAGGTGGATGCCGACGATGTCATCACCAAGGAGGAGCAGATCTTCCTCCTGCTGAAGGCCAAGGCCAAGTGCGAGCGCCACCTGAAAGCCAAGGTGCCCAAGGTGCACGGTGAGTGCTCCCAAATTCCAGGGCTGGAGCTGGAATTTGCTCCTCTGCTCCTCCTGCTCCTTCCAGCCCTTCCTCTCAGCCCCACATGCTGGGAGCAAGGAGGGAAGGAGGCACTTGGAGCATCCCAGCGAATTGGTTTTCCAGGATAGTCCATGGGGAGGAGGTTTCAGTGCGAAGTGTTGGAAAGCAAAGCTGTCCCAGACTTGTTCAAAGCTGTCCCAGACTTGTTCTGCTCTAGAATTCCAAAGGCTGAGGATGCAGAAGTTGTGGAATTACAGCCCTGGTTGTTCTACCCAATGCACAAGGGAGAGCATCAACCAGCAGCTCTGCCCGGATCACAGAATTCCAGAATGGGTTGGGTTGGGAGGAACATTAAAGATCCTGTTCCATCCCTCTGGAATGGGCAGGGAGACACCTCCCACCACCCCATGCTGCTCCAACCTGGCCTTGGACACTTCCAGGGATCCACGACTTCTCTGGGAATTCCATCCCAGCCCCTCCCCACCTTCCCAGCCAGGAATTCCTTACCAATATCCCATCCATCCCTGCCCTCTGGCAGTGGGAGCCATTCCCTGTGTCCTGTCCCTCCATCCCTTGTCCCCAGTCCCTCTCCAGCTCTCCTGGAGCCCCTTCAGGCCCTGCAAGAAGCTCTGAGCTCTCCCTGGAGCTTCTCCACTCCAGGTGAACATTCCCAGCTCTCCCAGCCTGGCTCCAGCCCTGGAGCAGCTCTGGGGCATGCCCTGGACTTGTTCCAGAGGAAAGCCACTATTCCAAATCCCAAAAATCCTTTGCAATCAGTGACAGAGAAAACAAAACAGCACCCCAAGACCTTTCTCCTTCCCCACTCTCTCTCCTCAGAAGGGCCCAAACTCAGCTGAGCCTCTTCCTTCCGTTTCCTTTCTATTTTGGGCTGGAAAATCACTCCCAGCTGTGGGACTGGCGGGGAGGAGGAAGGAGAGAACTCTCTGATGTGGGGAGCAAAGCTCTCACCCCCCACTGGCTCCTTCCCTCACATTCCCAAGTGTTAATTCCTGAGGGACCCTTCAGTCCCCGGGGTGGGTGTCCTGTCCCAGTTCCTCTATTTCCCGGGAAAACGGGACAAGCCACAATGTTCCTGCACCTCGGCTTTCCCTTCCCTCGGGGAGTGCGGTGGGGAAGGTCCCCAAATCCAGCTCCACCACCTGCCCTCCTGGTGCCTTTGGAAACGCCAGCAAGGCCCATAAAATCCCAGCTTTCCTTTGATTCCGAGCCTCCTGTTTTCCATCAGCAAACCTCAAGCCACATCCTCTGCTGCTTCTTTGTCCCCTCACCCCGTGCCCAATTAACACCTCATTAATGAGCACATGTGTGAAAGCATTTCCTGCTGCTGCACACCTGGTCCTGCTCTTGCACCCCTTTTCCAGCTTTTTTGAGGCAGCACTTGGGATTGATCCCCTTTCACTGAGGGCAGCGATGGGGATTGATTGACAGACGGATTTTGGGCTCTTTCCCAAGGGCAGAGCAAAGGAAGCAGATCCCAGGAATTTGGAGATCCCTGGTTTTGGTACTGGTTGGAGACCTGGGTCTGGGACTGGAACAAAAAACTTCCAATATCCGATGGTTTAATCCCATGGACCACATCCTGCCCCTGGAAAAAGCTGTCCTGAGCTCCTCAGACCCCCTGCTCCATCCTCTACAGCAAATCTGATCCCAAATAGTCCAAGAGGAGGAATCACCTGGATTTCAAGTCTTTGGAGAGACTTCACCCATTAGTGGAGGAGAATTAGATCCAATTAATCTGCACCAATCCAAAGGCAGAACGAATTCCCACTCAACCTTTCGCAAGGAATGGCTTTTTAGCATTTAGCACCCCAAAAATTCCCTTTAAGACTTCCCAAACAAGGATTTGCCAGACTGCCCCTGAGATGGTTTAAGGAGTTTGTGGTCTCAAAAAAGAGTTTTCCAATTTGCAAAAGTTCTCCCCACTTTTCAGATGAGCTTCCATCCACAGATTTTGGGATTTCAGATGCCCTTGGACACAGGGAAGGTGGTTGGGTCTGGTGCTTTCCTCCTTGGATGATCCAGAATTTGGGACGTGGCATCTCTTTAGTGATCAGAAAAATCCAGACCTGTGCCCTCCTCATCCAGAGGGAGGATCTCATCCCGTTACCTCTTCACTGACTGCAGATCCCAAAGAAAAATCTGGGAAGGGCAACAGTCTTCACCATTATGATGCTCCAGCTCCTATTCACAGATAGGATTTAAAACTAAAAATTTCTGAGGAAAAGTAGGGTTGGTTTGGAGCAAAATAAATCCTGGATGTGGTTTCCAGCTGACCCGTGGTTAAATCCATGCTGGGTTTGTCATTCCAAAGGGAAAAGGACAAGCCCACAAAGAGGCAGCAGTTTTGGGGAGATCCTCAGGAAAACACATCCCACAGTTATCCGAGGATGGGATTTCTCCAGCCTTTCTTAGGGAGTTGTTCGTGGTGAGGGATAAGATCCTCGTTCAGCTCTGCTGGAAGGGATCTTCCTAGAGAGCCAGAATCCCTCTGGGATCATCCTGGAGCAACTCCAATCGAGGGCCAACCCTGCTGACAGCCCAGCGGCGTCGGATGTTTGGGAAAGGAGAAAGTTTCCACTTAAAATTCCTGACCCAACTTGAGGACTTGAGGGTGATCTCTCCTGGGAAACTCCTCACCACAGGGGTCCTAGGAAAAGAGTCTTTGACCGCATTCCATAAAGTGGGAACATGTCCCAGCTGGCAGGGTTGATATTCCGAAGAAAAATCTTAGGGAACAAAAAGGTTTAAATCCTCTAAAATTTCAGACTTTCTTCAGCCAGTGTTTATGTGTAAAAACTCCAAATTCCATTTTTTTCACCCCCTAAAGAGGTTAAAATTCTATTTTATGGGAGGATGATGTCCCTCCTCTCCTCCTGGAGGGCTCACAGGGATCCTCTGGCCCTCGGCCACCTCCCAGGTGTCTCTGAGCTCTGGCTCCTGATCCATGTGGCTCCCACATGGATCCGTGCCACGGGGAGCTGAGGCTGAGCTGCTCCAGGAGCTTCCAAAGAGGATTCGTGCGTCATCTCCACCTTTGGCTGAGGCACTGAGGGCTGGAGACCCAAAATACAAAACCAAAAAAACCCCAAAACCCTTCCCCCACAAGCATTTGGTTTCCTCCTTTTCTCTTCCCTCCCCACCCCACCCCCCAACTCCCCTTTTTTCCTTAAATTTAGTCTCCAGATGAAAGCCTTTGGGAAAGAACAGGAAACCCAAAAATTTCTCTTCTCCCGACACAAATATTCCATTCCAGCCCTGGTGGGCAGCTGATGCCACCCCAAAGTTAAATCTGGAAGGGGATGAAGTGAAAATTCCCAGCCCTGAGCCATCAGACCTGACTTTTTTTTTTTTTTTTTTTTTATAATCCATGAATTAAAAGCTTGTCTTTGCCTGGTTTGGAAAAGGAGATGGGACATTTTGTGGGGAAAGAAGAGGGAGTTTTGCACAACCCTGTCATTAGCAAAGGCCATGGCCAACCCTTTCCCTGAGACCAAGGTGTTGCAGCTCCAAACTGTGTTGTTTTTTTAATAAATAAACCTGTTTTCCCAGGAAAGGTGTTATTTTTAGTTGGGAATCCGGGTCTATTTACCTGGGTTGTGCATCCCAGTTTGGTTTCACTGTCCCTAAAGGACCTAGAGCTGATTCCAGGCTCTTGCTTGCCTTGAGAACCCCCAAAATCTGCTCCTGGTTTCCTCTCCAGAGGGTCCCGCACCATTCCCTGATGCCAGGAGCTCCCAGAGGTTGGGAGAAGCCGAAGTCACCTCAGAAATTAAGGGAGACAGAGGCATCCTAAGGTCTAAACACCCCAGGCCTCTATAAATCCATAATTTCTCCAGCTATTTCCATCCTCTCCCAGTTTCTCTTCTCAGTCCTTGCAGATGTGGCCCAAATTCCACCAAAAAAACCCAAACCATTCCTTGTGAACATATTCCCAGCACAGTTTTGGCTTGGAAGAGCTGTCACTGCCCCAGTGGACACCAGCTGGGGAGTCAACATGGACCAAGAGACTTTTTAGGATGGAATTGTGGACAGGGGGAGCATCTAGGATGGAATTATGGATCAGGAGTGCTTCTAGGATGGAATTATGGACTGGGATAGCTTCCAGGATGGAATTATGGAGGGGGAGAGTGTCTAGGATGGAATTATGGACTGGGAGAGTGTCTAGGATGGACTTGTGGACCAGGAGAGCATCTAGGATGGAATTATGGACTGGGAGAGTGTCTAGGATGGAATTATAGACCAGGAATGCTTCTAGGATGGAGTTATGGATTGGGAGAGAGTCTAGGATGGAATTATAGACCAGCAGCGCTTCTAAAATGGAATTATGGACCAGGAGAGCATCTAGGATGCAATTATGGACTGCAAGAGTGTCTAGGATGGAATTATGGACCAGGAGACCTCTGAGAATGGAATAACAGACCAGACTGCTCTTCTGGAGTGTGAGAGAGTTCAGAGTCATCAATATGAACCATGATGGACTTGAAGGAGCTGAAACTGGGATGTGGCTTCTACTTGCAAAGTTTTATGGGCCAGGGGTTCCCAGTCCTATTGAGGAATGTCCACAGGGCAGCTAAACAGGGCTTGGAACTCATGGAAGGAACGGATCTTGGGAATTACGAGAGGCACAAGTGGTCTGTGGTTTAGATTTGTAAAGGAACACAGAGAAAGGGTGGAGAACATTCCAAAGGGTGGCTGAGCTCTAATGCTAATTATCAACCTTGTTTTAATGATTGATGGGAGCAATAGTTTTCCCTCTCAGAGGCAGGCTGGAGGGGTTTGGAAGGACTGGATGTGCTGGAATGAGGAAAGAACGGGATGTGCCAGCAGTGGCAGGTAGGGAGTTCCCGATGGGATGTTGGAGGTTAAGTTTCAGCTCCTGGTTGGGAAGCTGGGGACTGGATGGGCAGTGTCCAGCTGGAACTGGCTGGTGAGGTCAGGAAGGTGTCTCCAGAGCTGGG